GATTTTTTTTGTCCTTCTCAGCTTAAGTGTTGGCAGCTCTAGAATTGCAGCATATATGTGACTTGGGAGCTCAATTAGGATACTCTGGTTCTATTTCAACAAGTTTAAGAGTTCAGGTGGATGTAGTCATTATTGAACCATGCTGGCAGTCTGCTTTGAAGTAGATTCTTAAGTACAGCTCATGCTTTTGTGAGGAAAAGCATTGTTCTAATAAGACTTGAAAACAGAGTAGGTTTCAGAGGACCAGATGAGGTTATTGTTATGAACTAATGCTGGTGCTAATGAAGTCTGACGGAATTCTTACTGTTACCTAAAAAGAGGAAAAGCCCTTAAAGGTAGAGATGTTTTAACTGGACTTGAAAATACTAGTAATTAAAAAAAAAAAAAAAGAAAAAAAAGGAAAAGAAAAATATGGACTTATGGCAGAACAGAAACAACAGTTTTTAAATAGGGTTTCTTTCTTCAGGAGTTGTGAAAAATGGCAGTGTTCTGTACTGTTTAAGGTAGTTCCTTGGAAAGCAAAGGTGGTCCAGAGGTTAACATGGTGTGTGAAATCCATGTCTATAGTACTGTAGGCAAGCACATTTGACTCTTTAAAATATTTTCTTCTGTATCTCAGTACATTTAAATTTTCTTCTTTACACTGGAATTTCACCACTGAGTACATATTGTAGTTTTTGCAGTGGTCTGCCTCTCTGACACTGTTGATGAAGATCAGAGGATTGTCCCACTGGCAAGTCATCAAGTAGAATGAATGTAAAGAAAAAATTAAACTATAGCTCTAAGTAAAGAGGCAAGTTACAGGTAGTTGCTTAGAGGGAAATTGTGGATAAGGTAAGATCTGGATACAAATCTTAATGTTGGTTTTTACCAGCTGCATACTTTATGCACTGCTTATAATGAAAAGAAACCATATATATTTTTTTGTTTTGTTAATAGAATCCCATTACTTTTAAACACAGAAACAAATGGAAAAATGCCCTACTAGCGTGTGCATCATTTTATTAAAAGGTTCATGCAGCTAAGCAGATTTAGCTCTGCTTTTATATAAATACAGGGAAATGTTTAACCCCTATTGTATGGCCACAAAGCCTGTGCTGATCACACAGAAGCTTGGGAGGGCCGAGGACAAAGCGACGGGCTGCTGGAAGCGGCTCCTTTTGTACGTGCTTCTGCACACAGGCCAGCAACAGCAGGGCTTAACAGCAGAGTTTTGTCAAGTTTGCAACATGAAGGGGACCATGGTACAAATTCTTACCTCTCACTAACAGAAAGAAAGGAAAAAGTAACCCACCAAAAAAGGAAGAGGACCAAGACAGCTGTATAGCTACATGCACAAGGTAATGGCCAAGTTCCCTTTTCTGTTCTGGTACTTCTCAATCACTTACATAGCTGAGATTTATCTATCATAGTGTTAGTTAGTTTGATTCATTTGGAATGAAGTAGCATGAGGAAATGGAGGCTATAACTCTGAACAGAATAAACCTACTCCATGTAACATACTGAAACATTTGACTTTAGTTAACAGTCCAGGGATTGAAATCAATGCAGTTATAATTTGTATACGTGAAGGGAGGGCATGACTGCAACATGTTAAAGATCAGATGAAGTCTATATTCTGTTTTGATTAGTATAATATGTGTAAAAATTTGGGCACTGTTCTTATGGATAATCTAGGCTGGAATACTTTTCCTGGGAAATGTCTTCATGAGGATGTGTGTATCAGAAATGAAAACCCAAAAAGTTGCTTTTATTGTATTTCCAGGATATTTTTTCCATTGCTACTTTGTCAGAATCATCTGGGGTTGAACACACCCAGAAATAAGAAAGATATGACAGCAAGATGGATCACTGCCCTCATCAACCAGTAGTTTCTCCTTTTCTGAGAGCTCCTCATTACTCCTTAGTTCTGAAAGAATGGACATGAGGGTGAACAATGGAGCTCTGAAGTACTGGATTGCATAAAACTGTGCTTAAAAACATTAAATGAATTTTATATGTCACAAAGCAAATATTTTGTATTAAAAAACTTTCTGCAGTATTGTAAAGTAAACAGAAACTGAATTATATTTTATGTGTATATAGATATATTATTAATTTTAGGAGAAAGCTACATATTGTCTCACTATGGCTTCTTAAGGCTACATTAAAAATATCTTGACATTTTAAGGAATATTTTTGAATACATTTTATATAAAACCATTTAGCCAATCAGATTATAAAATAAAAATGGATTTTTTACATTTGAACTTTTTACATAGTTACTTATTGCAACCTATGTATTTCTTATTCTAAATTTAACTTCCCTGAAGTCTCTCAATGCTGTTACTAGAAAAGCAACGATACTATGTAAATTGTAGTTCTTTTGCAAACTTTTAAATTAATAAATATGCAGTAACATAATGTCAAGTGCAGAAAAGTAAAAAGTATGCTTTACATTTCCACAATATGCTAGTGGCTAAGCAGATTACATGACCCCAAATATATCTAATAAATTTTAAAACATATTTCCTCTAATCTGCAGAGTTTTTAAAAAACCATTTTTTTTACCGTCCTCCTTGATTTTTCCTTTCACATTAGGTTTTTCCCCTTCTTTTAATGAGTGTTAGCATTCTGCAAAAGATTTCCTGCACTGTCAGCAGAGGTGTGGTTTTCTGCTTTATGTGAGGTCTTACACAAGTCATCCCTGGGTTTCAGATCATGCCTAACTTTTAAACAGCACCCTTGAGGCTACAGATGTTCTTTACTGGTAATAACAAGTCAGGGACAAATTCCTGTCATCAAGGTAGACTGGTTGGCAAGGGCTGGTCTGCATCTGCATTTTAATGCTTTAGAAGAAGCAGACTGGCTGTGATCTGAGTGTTGTCTGGGTGCTGTGGTGTTTCTACAGCCCTAATACGTAGCTGGTGTCCTTTAGTTCAGAGTACCTGGAATGGTGAGGTCTGTGTTGCAGCCCATCAACGTTATGATGGTGCAGCCTAATACTGTAAATCCGTGGGGTGCTGCAGGGTGTTCCATGGAGGCAGGGGCAGGCTGCAACTGAGGATGCAGTGCCTGGCATGGGAGAATTGCAGGGTTGTCTGGAGTGGAAAATCAAAACTTAAGGCAGTCTTGTCCATGCTGTTGTTTGGAAGGGTTCTTTTGGGCTGGAACGTTCTCTAAAGCATGCTCTGGTTTTGTCTTGCAGACAGTGAGTTGGTGGACTGAACCAGCCAGGAGGCAGCGTTAATGGCAGGGTAGATGCAGCTGTTACCTGGATATAGTAGGATCTGTGTGATCATTGTCAGACTGTGCCGTGGCCAATTAGGAGTTGCACACATGTAGCATTGCTGAATGCAAGTTCTGTGTTGACTTTGGCTCGTCAAGGTCTTGCTGGTTTGCAGGGAGCTGTTCCAGCTGAATGTAGAGGCCGGGGGTTGCAAGCAATTTGAGTGCCGGAATAAAGATGAAGGCAATGGAGTGAATCTCAAAAGTGAATTTCACTCTAGTGAAATAAATTATATATGCCAAAACTCCTGAGGTTACAAAGATAATGTATTATTTCCAGTACTTTATTATGTAAGAGCAACAAGTTGTTTTGAAAAGAGCATGATAAAAATCAGTTGATGAGAAGCATTGTCTGTTACTGGAAAAAAAAACTACAAGAGAGTTCTAGTTTCTAGTCAACAGTTAAGGTTTTGCCTACTGGCAGACCAAATTAACAGTAAAAGGCTTTTAAAAGTATACAGAAAGAAACTGTATGATTGAATTATCAATTTGATGGGAAATTAAACTGATCTTCCTGTATCACTGCTGTAAGCTGAGATATTGCAGTTTCTCCTGGTTTACCTTACGAAACCGTGCCAATCTGCAGTTAAAAGTAAACAAGGAACTTTAATTACTATCCTACAGGTAAAATGTATAGACTTTTATGTACAGTACACACAATAACAGGTGCTGCAGTGATGCTAATTTGTTGTTGTTGGCTTCAGTTCAGCACCAGTTCACTGAAATAAGGACTGCATATTATGGCAAGCATTGCTGAGTTTGCAGGTGAGCAAAATGTGCTGTAAAATAAAAAGACTGTGAGGGAAATCCTCAGTTAGAAAATTTTTGAAGTTCACTTGCAAAATTCCTGATCCTACTTGAACCTTGCTCACTTGAAAGTTCAACTCCACATAGGCATTACTGCCATGGAAAGATAAGCAACCTTCTTCTCAGCCAAATGTGTTTAAAATAGGTTAAAGTAACAAAAAGTAAGGGACAAGAGTAATTGGGTGCACAATTCTTGTGAATAAATGAAGGAAAGGAGCAGCTGAATTCAAAACAAACCTCTCCTGCTGTTTCCTCTTTCTTTATCTTGTGCTTTTAAATTAGGAGGTGTTTGTCAGTCCCATCCTTTCACTAGAATATAAGATATTCTCCTAGAAAGTGGGAGATCAGACAGATTACAAGTTGCCTATAAGTCACATCTCTCTCTTTCCGGACAAGTTCTGTGACCAAAGGCTTTTCCTGCAATAGAGGTTTGCTGTCAACTGCTATGACCTCTTCCAGTAGATGTCTTTAGAAGCTTTGGCATCTGTATCCCAAAGAGCACTGAAGTCTTTAGTCCTGAGGAGAAAGAGGTACCCCGTGTGCCTTAAGCTGGGTTACTGGACATTGAAAAGATGTGGTTAGGCTTCTCTATTGGCTTGCTCAAGCTTTGTGGAGCACTGACTGTTTCTCACTGGTGGTACAGTGAACCTGGATAACTGTATGGGTGCTCCGGTTTGATCTAATGGAACTGGCTATTTTGGAGACACAAATGCAGAACATGATTTTGAAACCTAGAGAGCTGCTTTTGTTTTTAATGCTTCTTATTTTTTCTTTGGCCTAACATATATATTCTACTATTCCACTCGACTTAACTGTATTTAGTATTGCGGCTTTATCAAGACATATATGAAGTATTTGTTGTAATTTAGCAGTGAACATGATTATTGGCCTCTATGAATATTTCAGGTTCTATATTATTTTTTCAGGCAAAGCAGTGACATAAAGACCTGTCATACAGGGGATAAGAAAGAAGGAAAAGAAAAAGGATAGACCATCTTGCTCAGAAGTTATTTGTACAAAGGTAAGGTAATTTTTCCCTCAAAATTTTATTTTCCCATGCTATCTGGGAAAAAAACCCTCAAACTACTGGCATTAAGTTTCTGTCTGTTACATTTCTATCTTTCAATTTAGTTTCTGTTAATTACTATCCAGGGTACTCATATAACATGTTCTGCATTTATGTGCATTTCCATGTTTGTTTGAGTTAACAGTCTGTGATTCAGATAATTTTTTTAATTTCAACTCAACTTTTAACTGAAGGGCACGTATCAAATATGTTAACTAGAAAAGCAGCTAAAAGTATTTCATAGCTTCACATAATTGAAAGTAGACTTACTCATGTCTAATGTTCCTTACTGGAGAGAACAGGTGTCAGGACAAGTCAACTAGTAAAAAAGTGAGTCTGGAAAAATGGATTTGGAAGGAATGTGAAATATTGTACAAAAAAATTGGAAGTTTTTTCTTCTAGCATAGATTACAGATTTAGTGATGGGGACATTATGAAGTCTTTGTTGTCATGGTTTAGGTCCTAAGGTTAAAATGCCCATTTTGGAAGTTCTGAAGTAAGCTTTTGTTTCCCTCCCCACCCCAATCCTCCTACAAACCCCTCCCTGATCTTGTGTTTGAATTGCATAATTCTTTCAGTTTAAGAACAGAGATAGCTTTACTCAAAGTGAGTAGTAGCTGCTGAATAGTCATCTGTATTTTAGTATCTGGTTGTTTTTTTTTTACTACAAATATGATTTGGGGGTCTTGAATACAGTATTGTGTGTAGTTTACTAGAACAGACCTTTTCTGTCTTTTGTAGCGTGTAGGCGTGGGTGGCTGCACAGTGTTTTATCCCTCATTTTTGTGGTCTAGCAGACAGAGCATCTGAAAGCATCAGTAGTATGTTTAAAACAGAGAAGGGAGGAGATGGTCACTGAAATGTTTTGACTTCTGATTTAAATGCTGGCAGTGTTACTAAAAGTAATATTTAGTGCATCCTCTCCCTGAAATGCAGATATTTTGTTTGGTTGGTTTTTATCTCTTCTGAAACGGTTCTTGTGTTAGTCACTCAAGAGTTAAATATATCTTTGAAGAAAGAGGACTGTTACTGTAAGCTTTTTAAACTAGATTGCTCTGAAAAAAAGATGACCATTGAAGACTCTGAAAGGGTTTTTGGATGGTAATCAAGTTAAGGAAGCTCTGAAGTTCTTTGGCTTTGCTACTGGCTGCTCTCACTCACCAGGATCCTGGCACCCTATCACTGTGCCTTCATTGCCTCCATAGCTCCAGTTCTCCTGTCAGGGAATGCCACCATACAATACATCCCCTGGGGCTACTTGGATGAGTGACAACGAGCCAGCTCCAAAGTGACAAGTGTTTGAATGCCTAATTGGGTCAGTGCACAGGTGCCTGCTCTTCATGAATGAGATGTTCTAACTTTTCTCTGTGACGTTCTCTTGGTTCCTCTCATTTTTCCTACAGTGGTGAAACAAAACTGTCAATACTTCGATGTGAGAGAATAGGCTTTATCAGAGGAGAAAGATGATTTCCCATTGCCCTGTTTTAGTTTAACTAGCTTTACTGCTTGAATACTGACTGGATGAGAGGCAAAGAAATCCATTAAAGTGGCAGAAGTTTGCTGATACAAATGGACATTGCAATAGAGAATGAGGTGATTTATTTGACTGGTGAAAGCAAATGTATTGTCTTATTCTCTACGTTAGGTAGATCTCATACTGGTTAGATCTATAGGCTTGGCCATCAGGAAATGCATGGGAGAGAAAAAGAGCTTGTTTTTTAGTATCTGCACAATGAGACTTTTCCTAAGTCAGAGAAACAACTTGACTTCATATAATGCAATCAGAGCAACCGATGTACAAGGGAATTGTTTTATCTTATTGAAGGCTTGGTGTTTGCATAGAAAACAACTGATATTAAGTCCATAGTCCACATTACTCAGATGTAGTTTCCCTCCTTTTGTCTCTTCCACAAAAAAACCACAGGATACCCGGGGTTGGAAAGGATGTCTGGAGATTTGTCTAGTCCAACATCCCCACTGCTCACAGCAGGATCAACTAAAGCAGCTTGCTGCTTGGACAGCTGTTTCCAGTGCTTGAACAACCATAGAGTAAAAAAGTGCTTTCTTTTGTTCAGATAGAATTTAATCTGTTTTAGTTTGTGCCCATTGCATTTTGCCGTGTTGCTGGGCACCACTGAGAAATGTTGTTTACCCTGCCCCCCTCAGGTATTTCTACACATTGATAAGATCTCCTGGAAGATCTCCTGGAGCCTTTTCCAGGCTGGAGTCCCAGTGCTTTCAGTCTCACCACATCAGATGCTCCAATCCCTTAATCGTCTTGGCAGTCCTACACTGGACTGCTTTATAGGATGCTTATGTTTTGCTTGTACTGGGGAGGCCATGAGTGGACACAGCCCTCCAGACGTGTCTCAGCAGTGCTGAGTGGAGGGGAAGGATCATCTCCATTGACGTACTGGCAACATTTTTTCCTAATGCGGCACAAGATGCTGCTGACCTTCCTTGCTTCAAGGGTACGCTGCTGGCTCATGATCTATTTGGAGCCCACCAGGACCCCCAGGTGTTTCTTTTGCAAAACCACTTCCCAGCTGATCATCCCTCATTCTGTTCTGGTGCTTGGGGTTATGCCTCCCTAGGTGCAGAACTTTGTATTTCCCTTTGTGGAACTTCATAGTATTCCTTTTGGTTTATGCCTTAGGCTTTTCAGGGTCCATCTGAATGCCAGTGCAGCCAGCTGGTGCATCAGCCACTCCTTCCATTTGGTGTCATTAGAAAACTTGCTGAGAGTGCACTGTGAAGTGGTCATTAGTAAAGTGGTTAAAAGGTACTGGCCCTAGTGCTGATCCCTGGGGTCCACCAGCAGCATAGTTCTGTACTCTTTTCTCTAGCTGGACTTCATGCTGATTGCAACCCTTTGAGCCCAACAGTTCATCCAGATTTCAGCCCATCTCACTGTCCATTTCTGCTTGTCCGTGGGGATCTTATGGGAGACATGTCAAAAGCCTTGCAAAAGTCAAGATAAACAACATCTGCTGCTCTCCTGTCACCCACTGTGCCAGCCATTAGCCGGTGTGTTCTGCCCAGAGTATCTCAGTCCCAGCAGGTGCTGCTGGCAGGGTTGCTCCGAGAAATCAATGTGTCCCCCGTTCAACATTTGTTTAAAACAATATTGTCACTTTTGCTTTGGCTGACTTGAATGTGTATTTCTAAAATAAGGCTTTTTCAGTGGTGTATATTTAAAAGTGTGAAGAGAGTTATTTAAACTTAGTCAATGTTGAAAATATTTTAAGTGGTGGGAAGTCAGCTAGGTAGCTACTGTCAACATTACAGCAACTGTGTTCCTCACTGTCCTTACTAACAAAAAGCCCTGCTGACAAAAGTGAAAAATAAAGAGGAAAAAAAGGTTTGACACGGCGTCTCACAGCTGTTTGCTCTAAGATAAACAAACAGAAGAAAGGAAATGAATTGGTAGGAATCAGAGGAATTATTTATAATAACAGGAGTACAATTTTTCAGATTTACATTATTTCTTCTAAAAATTTTTTGTGAAAAATGCCCTCATTCTAACAAGACTGGTATATCATCTAGTTAAATTTAGGAAACTTGATAGGAGAAATCATCTGGAAAAGGGAAGCATATTTCAATGATCTGTAGTTTCTTAACATTAGCAAAGAAAGGATGAAAAGAGTTTCTTATGCAAGTATGAAAATATGAGTATTTTAAGTGACAGAAATTCCCTCTAGAAGTCCGAGATTTTTTTAACAGATTGGAAAATAAAAGGCTCTATAAAGGGAAATCTGCTAGTTTAATTTGTGAAGAAACATGAATTTATTTATATTAAAAAATGCCTCCCCAAGCTTTTATTTAGTGATAATAAACTGGTTTCATAAATTTGTTTGCAACTAAAAAGAGTTTAAACAGAAGTAGCTGTAACTTATTTAGGGGTCACAGCCGCTCTAGTTCTATTGAAACCTGCCCAAATGTAGTAAGTGTATGGTTTCTAGAATAATTTTAACGTTCATATAAAACATTAGGTTTTGCCCAGCTTTTTTTCTCACTTTATAATCTCTGATTTCCTCATATGTAAATTAAATGGACCACTTTCATCACTTGTTCCTTTTTTAGCTGTCTAACTATGTGTTTTTCAAATATGCTAAAAAAGGACAGCATGTAAAGAAAATACATAATCCTCAGTTGCTCAACTACTGATGTATAGAGTCTTTTTACAAGAACTTTTGCTGATGACTTATGCAGGATAAAAGTCATACTCCTACATTATTGCATATTTGAGTCTGTTTCTGTGGTAATTATGCATGCAACCACAGATGGCAAAAATAAACGTTTTATAACTTTTTTTTAACATAATGCTAAAAGAGGAGGGGTAGTATAGAAATAAAAAGAAACATTAAACCAGGTTTTCTTCAGTTTTTTTCTATGTCTGAAAATTTTCTGAGCTTTCAACTTCCTGCAAGAAAAGCAATGGTGAAAGATCTTCAGAATATATTTGAGTGCCATATTTTTGTTCTTTGCTGCTTATGCCTCCACTAATATTCTGACTCGCTGTGAAGTGTAGAAGGCAGCAAGCACAAATATTTAAGATATGGAGATATTCCACCTCATTTCAGGTGCTTGGGTACCTCAGCGTAGTTAACAGCATAGTTGTTAAATCAATGGAAATTGATCCAATTAAAAAGAAACATGATTTTTGATTGGTAATTTTAATTCTTTTGAAATTCAACTCGTCTACTTGTACTTTTTTGTGCAAGCAAAAAAAAGAGTTGGTGCATAAGCGCTAATGAGGAGTAGGGAAAGTGGCAGTAATTAAAAATGAGGGGGAATAAGAGGTCAGTGAGCTGCTGTAGAAACATTTGTTTGTGGAACTTCAGCCTATGAATTTCACTGCTTTTTTCAACTGTTCTTTTTCCAGTTCTCTTGATCATGTTAGAATAATTCCTTCTGTCAAAACGTTATTTCCCCCATTCTCAGTGGTTTTGTCC